TAATCAATAGCATCAAGCGACCTACCATGTCTTTCTCTTTTCCTTGCAAACGAGAATTAAAATTTAGAGAGAAAGAATAATCTTTTTTTGTTAAAATTATTTATACGTATGTATGATTACTGAAGGGGATCAGTGTGGAAATTTTATTGTCCAATCAGAGTCATCTCTTTGATGATTTAAAAAAAAAAAAAAAAAAAAAATTTTTTTTTTCCAATTTCAAAGAGTAGCCTTTAGTCACCGCTGTCTCCCCTGGCTTAAGAAAGTTAAGAAACCATGAGTTACGTCGCTAAAGGCAAAGATGAATACGTTGAAGAAGCACCAAAGGTGAATGGTTTTTTCTTTTTGATCCCTTGTGGTTCGTTCGAAATTTCTCTTCTCAACATTACTCTTCTTATCATGACATTGAAATTGTGTGCAGGTCCACCGAATCCGAATCACCTTGACATCTCGTAACGTCAAAGCTTTGGAAAAAGTTTGCTCGGATTTGATTGGCCGTGCAAAAGAAAAAAACTTAAAAGTTAAAGGTCCTGTACGTTTGCCTACTAAAGTTCTTAGAATCACCACCCGAAAAACTCCTTGTGGTGAGGGAAGTAAAACTTGGGATAGATATGAGATGAGAATTCATAAGAGATTGATCGATTTGAATTCCCCCAGCGAAATCGTTAAACAAATTGTATGTAATTTTCTTTTTTCTTTTCCTTGATTTCTATCAACATCATATAATATGAGGCTTATAATTTTAAATTTTTAATTTTAAAATGATCAGACTTCCATCTCTATTGAGCCCGGTGTTGAAGTAGAAGTCACGATTGCTTCTTAAAATAATATTTCTATCTATTTAAAAAATAAAAGTCCAAAAAAACTTAGCAATTTCAAAAGCTCACGTGACCATGTGCTGTTTCACCATTGTGCATATAAAAATGAACGAAAATTTGTCTCTCAATAATAATAAACAAAATGGCTTCAGCATTTCTTAAAAAGAACCTGGCTGTACGTGATTCCCATATTGTAAAATTTATTATGTTCTAAACTCATGTTCGTTCGTTCTTGTTTCTTTGTCATCTCTAGCTTGCTCCACTTTTCGTCGCTAGCGGTGTTGGTGTTTTTGGTAGTCTAACGTAAGTGCTTTCGTTAGCAATCATGATGACCGATTGCAATTAAAAATGCATTAAACCTAACGTCGTACTTCCTCTAAACGAATTAGCTATGCTCTGTACACCCTTACGTACAGTCCAGAAGTGGTCGTTAATAGAAGCAACCAACAACCTTGGAACCTCATCCAACAACATGAAAATCACAAAGTATGTTTATTTTGTTCACTCTCTTCATCTTTGTTAATATGCTAATAGGTCTTATACTTTAATCTTTTTCCCAGATGATAACCATCAACAAGGAATTTTTTGAAAAACGTCGTGGTGTCGACTCTCCTTCTAAAAGCTTTTGATCAAATATAGTACATGTATTTACACATTCACACGTTCATATGTGCAAGAGTCCAGCTTTCAATTGATGTAATCATTCCTTCGGTCACAAAGATTTATTATGTATAATTTTATTATAAACTAAATTATTCATTTTTCATAAGTTCGTGCGTACATTATAAGATCTATTTTAATGGTTAAACCAAAATTGAAGATACGCACATGTCCTTTACATGATGGTTTTAATTAAATTTTACCAAGAAATAAAGAAATTGGGTTTTGATTTCTTTTAATCCGGGCATTCTCGTGCAATGTGACCTGGCTATAATGAATAAACAATTGGGTTAGCCTAAATGCATCACTTCAACTATACTTAAACTTAACAGAAAATTTTTAATTACCTTCCCGCATCTAAAGCAACCAGCTGGCTTTTTATCCTTTGAGCCAACTTCACTTCTCTGATAAGTGTAGCTTTTTGCTTTGCGATACTGATCGAAAATGTCTTCTTCGTCTCCATTACCATGACCAACTCCCAAATATTTTTGCTCTCCAAACCTAATCTCCCCGCCTTTAATCGGTTCGGCAATACCTGTCGCAGATGATCCTAATCCTGTGCCTGCTCCTTCCCAACCTTGATGAATTTTTTTTTTAATCAATAATTCAATAATCGCAATTCTCACGATCAATAGCATGATAATAATCAGATAATCATACCTAGCTTTTTCAACATTTGAAATCCTACGTTTCGATCGGATATCATCTTATCTGGTCGAGAACCTTCGTCTCGTTCCTTAATATTATAACCCAAACCCCCAACTCCTCCATTGTATGACGGTGACCTTGATCGGGATCTAGAATACGATTTGCTGCGATACCTTCTTCGTGATGAAGAACTATATTCACTGGACTTGTGCCTGTCACGACTATAACTTCGACCTCGCACGTAGGATCTCGATCTGGACCTCGATCTAGACGCCGACCTAGATCTGGAACTTGACCTACTCCTTGCCCTCGTCAAAGATCTTGATGCAGTTCTCGTTCTGATCATTGATCTATTCATGTTTCCTGGTTTTGACCTCGTCTTCACCCTGGAGATTGATCGAGAACGGGATCGTGATCGGGACCTAGAACGTGAGGACGAATATGACCTGGTCATACTTCGAGACCGTGTCCGCGAACGAGTTCGTGATCTCGTTCTTCTCCATCCGTGCCTTGACCGACTATGGGATCTATATCTTCGTCTTGAAATCGATCCTGATCGAGACCTACTCCTGCTACGCCTATGCCGTTTGCGACCTCTTGATCTACTACGGCTGCTATTTGTGGATTCAGAATAACTGTTGCGTCGTTGTCTTCGTGAATGCGATCGTGATCGTGACCTTGATCTCGTGACACTTCTGCCTCTCGACCAACGGCGGTGCAATCGATCTTCTCGGTTGCGCCTGTAAGACGAGCGGCGATGATTATGATATTTTCCGGCTGCTGCTCTAGCTGCTGCTGCCGCTCTGCGAACGTGCAGATCCCTGTAGAAATCATCTAAAAATCCTATTTCCCATCCGTCCTTATCGAGTTCAATTTTATTGTTTTCTGATACAACACTTTCGTCATCTGCATCTTCTGTTGACTCTATCAATTTCATCCCCTCGTAAAACTTATCAACAGCATCTAATAATTCTGTTGTTGGCGGCAGTCTATGAGGGGGAAGCCTAATGGAAGCTGCGTGAATTGATTTATAAGGAGTATCCTCAGACTAAAAAAGCTGGTAAATAAGTAAACTATTAAGAAGACATAAAACATTTATCAAATATCAAAAATACGTTATTACTTACCGAGACTGCGGGTACAATCAGCCCTGCCGGTAATTCGTAATATTTTTTTTCCGGGACTGTGGGGATCGGAGGTGTGGCCTCGGATCTCGATACAATCCCTTGCATTGGTACTGCCGTAGATGACGATCCAGAAGGAAACTGTCCAGGTATACCCGGCGGGGCGGGCTCAGGAGTAGGTCGCATGTGAGAAACTGGCGGAGAAAGATGAGCGTTCGACGAAACCATTGATTGAACAGAAGTAATGGGATTACTAAACATTCCCGGTGGTGGGGGGGTACTTTGATTATAGAAAGTTGACACAGATTGCGAACTCGGATATCGGATGTGACCGAATGAGTGTTGACTTTGTGATGAAATTCCAGAAAATGAAGTTTGCGGTGGTCCACCCGGCGGTGGTGGAGGAACCATGACTCCAGATTTCAAAGCACTGATCTTGGCATCATCAAAGTAATGCTTATCACCCCATATAGATATAATCTAGTTTATCCAAAATTAATTAGCCTCAATCTCGGGAAGTTTCTTGTGAAATGATACAATAATGAACTTTACTTTGAGAACTTTCTCCTGTTGCTTCTCATTCGCGTCGACGCAGTGAAAAGCTCCACGAAGTAACGGAAGTAAGTGCGGATGCAGCGTCTCTTTCACCCAAAGTTCCTGACGACGCTCACTGTAATACCAAATTTTTATTACTAATTCAATAATGCTGGAAGAATTCTGCTAAAATTTTAATAAATTGTGGAGGTTTTTTTTATTTTTTGTTTAAAAACCTGTGGAACAGAACGTCGTTGACCAAATATATCAAGTGAAGTTTGTCTTCGAAGGAAGGCCGGGATCTCGAGAGGGCAATAATGAAACGTAATAAACTATCGTAATGGGTTGGGCTTGTACAATGTTCAACTATCCAGGTCTTTCCTCGCTAGATTTTCAATGGAAAGTTAACAAATAATGCAGATAGATTAATCTAATATTTTCAAAGCTAACCTGAATATTTGACTGCGAACATTCGTGCATAAGCATCTTGAGAGACAGCCGAAAATTCTCCAACTCCTGAGGTCCAGCAGTTCTTAGAGTCATCGCAAGATTGTCAAAAGCTATAGTTGTTGAGTCATCTATGGAAGACTGTTGTGAAGGTGGAGGTATTGAGGGCCTTTGATATTGCGGAGGAATATATTGGTTAGAGGGGACCGTTGGAGACCCCTGATAAGTGGAATATTGTGGGGGAGGTGGAAAATGTCCTACGCAAGGAAAAAATTTCCCAACATTAATA